TCTACCAATTTTTTATATATTTTATATTATATATATTTGCAATTTTATGCTAAAAAATTAATATTATAATTAAAGATTATTTAAAGATAAGTAACTACACTTCAGCCCAGTTCCACAACTCACTTAACTCTTAATCGAGGTTCAATATATTTCTCATCTCTTTCCAATTCTAGAATTGGAAAGAGATAATAAATAAATTGAACCTCAATTTTTAATTGTTTAACTTAAGAGTTTACCTTAAATTGTAAAACTAAGCCTTAAAGATTGGCAAATTCTCAAAAACAATATTGATACGGTTACAGAACATTTTCAAATATATATATAGGTAATATAATAATTTTTAAAAACTAAGCATAAAATAATTTTGAAACTTTCATAGAAATTTAATTTATTGGAAGATTGATATCATTTTTTTTATATTAAATTAATCAATACTAAATTGGATTTCTAAAGGAAATTATAAAACTTTTACTTAAATTTGTTCTTCTTATATTTCTTATCATTCTAACGACATAGAGAAATGTTTATTATTTTTATTTTAGAGAAATTATTTTTCTCAAAACATGTTGTCTTCTGTAACGGACATAATAACTTATAAAAAACTGTAGATATATAATATCTTGGTTGCTTCTTTTATTAATCCCTTTTAATCTATACTAGCATGTTAGTATTCAGAGATCAAAATTAGGAAAACAATGTTCTCTTTGTAAGAAAGTAGAACGTCGCAAACCTAGACACATCGTGAAAATACATTCGTCGGGAAAGAGAAACGTTTGTATTATTTTTGAGAATATGTTTACGAAACATGTAAAGGTAGGTAATTGCGCAAACATCATCGACATGATTCTCTTTTAAAACGCGAATAAATATTACAATCTTAAGTGACTATATTTCACTATCAGATATTTTTATTGCGATAATTGTTCGTTTGATGCATTATGCTCGATTGAACATAATTTTACGAAATTACATAAATCTGTACTATAGAATGCAAGTCTCATACATCGGTGAATCGCGTTGGTTCCAATCCGCTTCCGTTTTTGAAAAACAGAACGAAAAAAGACTAGAATACTCAGAATCTACATATATGCACTCATGTTCGATAATCTCCATCATATATATGTCGATTTTCATATCATAAGTGATTAGCGAGTATTTCGGAATATCGCAAATTGATGTAAAAATAAAATATTAATAATATTTTAAATCCATTCTGTAACGCTTAACGACAATAACGATATTGTTGAGCGGGTTTTAAAGTATTCCCTAAAATTTTTAGAGTGATTTTCGTTCTAAAGAAAAATCTTATTTTTAAGAATTGAAAATTGAGTTACTTTTTTTCAAGACTGTTCCAATTTTTAGAATGAAATTTCATTTCAAAAAATTTAGAGAGTGAAAAAGCTGCGCTATGATCATATAACGATATCATTATTGTCGATAAGAATTAGGAACATAAAGAGATCTAAAACGACAATAAAAGGCCTTATAAATCTATAAAAATTGAGTTCTCATTTCTTTAGATCGCGCAATTACTACTTTTGTACAATGTTATCGTACAAAGTTACATCATACCTGAAAATAGATGACCAAAGATTCGCTAATTCCTTTCAAGACTTGTGTAATGATATTGATGAGAAAAATGTAACCAAGAGATTCAGAACTATATTCAGGACCAATCCTAT